CATTAAATGTCAAATACGTTAGAGAATCTGAATTAAATAGAAATGATTGTGTAACGTTTCTTTTAAATATCATTTATTGCTCATAATTGCCTCATTAAGACAAAGGCATTATATCTTCTCCTAGAATCAACTATAAAAGGGGAAAGACTCAACATCTGTAAGGACACGAAATACAATTGAGATCTTACTGAAATACAAAACTATTTACTGCTTTACCATCATTCTCAAAAATATTTTATTTTCGTCTCCTGATTATCAGTAACCCAAATTTCTTTCTAGTTTTGACCAAAGACTCAGATTTTTGGTTAAACACATATCAATCACTAGTTTGGAATCACATTCTAGGATAATTCTATCATAACCATTAGAATGACACCACTGTAGGCCTAAAAGTGCAGCCTTAGCTTCTGCCAAATTACTTGTGCCACTCCCCAAACTTTATGAGAAAGCCATAATCATATTACCCCTGTGATCTCTTAAAATGCCCCAGCACCAATCATATTATTACCCTGTTTGCTACCATCTGTATTAAGCTTGGCCCAACCAAATAAAGGTTTTTCCCAACGTACAAGAACACATATAGTCTTTGATGTTAAGGCGATGAGTTTATCACATATACTATACCATGGGAGAAATCCTTCTATAGAAATGTTATGTTTAAAAATCACTCATCTCACATGGGAAAGAACCTGGAATTGAACTCTTGTAAAAGAAATATTAATATCTCCATACCTTGAAGCACATCTAGCCTTTCATAATTTCCAACAGATAATAATGGTGTAATTTTCAAGATTACCTGAAGTACCTTGTTATTGGATTTACAACTCCACCAGTTGCTAAGAATATTCAGAACAGCGTTGTCCTCCCATCTGATTCTCAGTGGTGCGCCAAAGTGTATCCATGTATTTTTTGCCATCTATCCATTGATGAAACTATGATGCATGGTCTCTACTTGTGGTATCCTGCAATAGTTATATCTTGACACAATATTTTGTCTAAATCTAGAAATTATATCACCGAATACCCTAAATTAATCTCCACATCAAAAGGACACTTTATAAGGTAAGTATTTGTGCCAGACTCCCTTCAGAATTGGTGTAATGCCTCTTGACTGTCTTATAGCTTGCCATGCTGATGAAGTAGTAAATAGACTAGTGGAGGAGGGCATCCAAACGACATTATCAGCATAGTTAGGATCTTCCAGCTTAGTAGAATAAATTAACTCTATTAGGTATTCGGGTAGCTATTGGAGCTCTTCAAAGCGCTGAGAGTAGCCTATCCTAACCTGGTTGATCTTTCTCATATCATGAGATTTATTTAGATGTACTATGTTAGCTAAAGAACCAATGCCTAACCAATTGTCCCACCATAGGCTAATATCACCGGCGTTGCAGTTCCAAAGGATGTGCTTTTCCGCTTCATCTCTGATGTCCAGAAGATTTTTCCAAGCATGTGAGTTTTTTGGATTTTTTTTCTTCTTGACACGGTGAACTCTGCTACAGTATTTGACTCTAAGGAATTCTGCCCACAAGGACTTTGAAGTTCTGAATCTCCGCTATTTTTTCATAGAGAAGGAGTTGCTCACATCAACCAAGCTTCCGAAGCCCATGCCCCCTTCCTCTTTTGGGTAACACATATTTTTCCATGAGCCCCAATGGTATCTTTGTTTTCCATATGATGTACCCCAATAAAAGCTCGCCATGTATTTTTCAATCTATTTAAAATAGTCTTTGGAGGCACCATTGCAGCAAGTAAGTGTAAAGGTTGTGATTGAAGAACATGTTTAATTAAAAAAGCTCTGCCTCCGATTGATAATAATGTACCTTGTCATCCATTAGTTTTTCCTCACAATTTTTATCACCGCATCATTAAAATAAGAGATTCTTTTTCTTCCTACATATAATGGACATCCTAGATAAGTGATAGGGAAGTTATATGCTTGAAACCAGTAATCTCTTTAATCTCATTAATATGACTTGATTCAGCATTGGGCGATACTAGAAAGCAACTTTTCGCACAGTTAATAGATTGCCCTGAACATTTCACATTATTCTTCAGTTGTTTCATGATCAAATCTAAAGAGTTCTTGGATCTAGAGGTGAAAATCATTACATCATCAGCATATGCTAGGTGTGTAATTTGTAGCCCTGCTCTGTGCATAGAAAACCCTTGAAACAGATCATTGGATAGCAGTTGGTTAAACATCCTAGATAAAACCTCGGCCCCAATAATGAACAAAGCTGGTGACAATGGATCCCCTTGTTTAAGACCCCGGGATAAATGAAAGAAACCATTTCTGTTACCATTTACTAGAATAGAATACCAATTTGTTGGATAAAGATCTCCAAATCATATGAATCCAGTCTTCAGAAAAACCAAACTTCCGCAATGCAGCTAAAATAAAGTCCCAATTAACCCTGTCATATGCTTTGTCCATATCCAATTTGATCACAACATTACCACCTTCATTAGCTTTATTAATGGACTACTTCCTGAGCGAGGAGAATATTTTCAGCGATAAGCCTGCTGAAACAAACTCACTTTGGTTTTCTGATATGAGTTTAGGAAGGATTAGTGCCAATCTATTTCTCATTATCTTAGAGATGATCTTGGTGGGAATATTGCTAAGACTAATGGGTCTAACGTCAGAGAAGGTTTCAGGATGCTCCATCTCAGGTATAAGAACCAAACAAGAACTTGTACAGTATCTCGTCAAACTATTTCCATTGAAAAAGGTCTGAACTAATTCAACCAAATCTTGCTTTATAATATCCCAATACCCCTGATAAAAACCTCCACCAAATCCATCGGGACCTGGGGCACTATTCTTTTTCATGCTAAAAACTGCAGCGCTTATTTCCAGCTCTTCAGGTATTGCACATAGAATATCATTATCTTCCAAAGTGATGATAGGATCAATAATCTCCAAATATTGCAATTGAGGTGATTGACTATCCTTCTTGAAAAGGACTTCGAAAAATTCAATAGCACCATTTGCAATCTCGTGATCTCCCTGAAGCCACTGTCCATCTTGCGTCTTTATTTTTGTGTAGTGTCAGTCTTCTCCTTCTCTCATTAATAATGGCATGAAAATATTTACTGTTGGAATTACCTTCTTCTAGCCATCTAATATTCACTTTTTGTTTCAACATAGCTTCTTCAACCTTCAACCATTTAGTGTATTCACCATTTTGCGTTCCCATTCTTTAACCTTCAAACAAATATCTCCAATTTGCTCTTTGGACCAAACTCTTAGTTTCCTGGCAACATGCTTTATTTTTGCGTGCCTCGATCTGCGTGCGCAGTTCGGACGCGTAGCCGGAAAGTTTTTATGTTAGAATATGCGAATTTTGTAAAAAAAATAAAAATTGATGAATTATGATATTAATATGGATAATATTGACTTCGATCAACATTTTGGGTAAAAACGGACCCGGACCTATGATTCGACGGTCCTAGAGGGTCCATAGAAAACTATGGGACTTGGGCGTGTACTCGGAAATCAAATTCCGAGGTCCCAAACCCGAGAAATGAATTTTTGTGTGAAATTGTTTTCTGAAATTAATTAAGGAAAATGAAGAAGAAAATTGATTAGAAAATTGTGGTAGTGGGCTCGTATTTTGGTTCAGTCCGGTACGAGTCTTAAATATGTTTTAAGCACTATCTGTAAAGTTTGGCTAAAAACGCACGTCATATGACGTGTTTCGGACTTAAAATGGGGAATTTGAGTTTTATGAAAGTTGAAAGAAA